CGTCTCATGCACGACTTCAATAAGCCAACCTCGACGCCCATCCTATTTACAAACCCATGACAGATGATGTTAGTGCCCGTATGGGGCACGAGCAATTCATGCAGGTAGCCTATGCCTGTACGGGCCATGGTCACACACCGACCCTTTACTGACATGAAGTGTGGACGGAGGAGAAGTCGTCACACAACCGCTGAGAAGAGCTCCGCAGCCGAGGTTGTCACCTCCATGTGATTCTACCACACTTTCTTCGTCTAAAGCCGAGGCCTCAATGCAACCCGCTAACCAACCTTGGCTGCTACGACCTTGAGAGTGGTGAGCAAGTGATGTAAGGATATCTGACCGACCTGCGGATGTTGACACATGACACCGATCGGATGCATCTTGGCCATCCATCATCAACCACTGCCAACCGCCACCACCTGCTCCTAACTATCCCTCTTCTAAGGCAATTCTGACTATAAAAGGGGCTCCCAACGAAATCAGGATGCTAACCGCTGCCATAAAATCAGGATGCCATTGTTCAATCTAACGATTCTAACGTAAGACATGTTTGTTCTTGTAATAAAGCTTTTAGTTTTCATATCTATACTTTCCACCCTTTATCCTCTTCATATACTGATGGATCATTTTGTACATTGGATAGGTCATGGTGAAGTCTATCTTGAACATTTAGGACTTGGATTGGCAATTCTTTATTTTTTTAGTGAAATTTTACAAGGTTTTATGTGGAATGCCATAGAATTAATCCTAGTTAATGAGAAAGTTCATTAACTCATTGTGAATGGTCTTGGTTGGCTTTTAGTTGCTGTCCCCGTCCCTCATTTTTTGGTGTTCTCACTATTAGAAACTTTGAATTGCACCTTGATCTTACAATAAATCATCTGCCTARAGGCCTATGAAAATGTGTGTGTGTTTTTTTTTTTCGACATCCAAAGTTTTAAGATGAAATATGTGTGATCTTCATGTAATAGTAATAGCTATTGCAGAAGAGGGTTTTCATGGTTATACAGATCTCTAACTAAATTGGCATCATCA